CCAATCGATTAATGCTTTAATTATACGGATTTATACGCCTTTAAACTGAACGTTAAATTCAAATTAACGTTACGATTGAATACGAAATTAGTGAACGATTTTTAGACACACAGAATATTCTGTATATTCTGTATATCGTAGTTACAAATGAAAGGCTAAAAAAGATTTATTCATTAAACGAGTCATTGCTTTAAAGCAAATACAAGGAAAAAAATGTCACTAAAAAATTATTTTCCAATTAATGTGAATAACATAAAAAAAGTTATTTGAACACCAAAATCAATTCAAACGTTAAAAACCACTATAATTACTTTGTATATACTATGTATGCGAATAAATTAACCAATGCCTACTTAAACTCTGTTTTAACATGGATATACAATACAAACACAATTATATTAAAGCAGAATTGAAGTATACCTTTTAAATGCTGAATGCATGCTATGTTAGGTATTTATTTTCGTAATGCATTAAAAATGCACTACATTTTCATTGCATAACAAAATCAATACGTAAGACACGTGTGGGAGAAATGAGTTTAAAAAGATAATGTAAACTCACTTTTTGTTATTATTTTATTTTTCTGTCAAATGAATGTAATTCTGGTATTCATTAAATTTAATAATAGTCCCAGTGTTAAACTTACTAACATACAATTCTGTAAGAATATTCTATATCCATATTCTGGTTAATATAAAAAAAATAAAACAAACATGAGAATATATTAATATAAAACTCCTTTCAATAAAAACACTTATGTCTATTTGAGTTATATTTTATATTTTTCCCGTAAATGTCCTTAGTAATTTTTTTTATATTGACCTATACGAGCTTTCTATTGGTTCCAGTAAATTCTATTGGTATTTGCAAGTATTTTTCATATAACTTATGTCAACACTGTACAATATATTAAGGAATATTCATGGTACTTGTAGTGGTGTACTTTTATTTTTTAAAATTGCTATAATATTATATTATCATATACCCTATGGGCAATTGAATTATTCTGTGTTTGAGTTTTATATTAAAAAAGATTTTATTTTTATTCTGTTGTCTATTTATAATTCATATAAAGGTTTTTCATTTTTCTTTATGTTAGGCTTACTGACGTTTTTATACAGTACCACACAAACTAACTGTATGGAAAATTGTTATTATAAATTATGTTATATATAAATATTAAGTTATTAACTGGATCACTTATGAAAACTAATAATGCATAAAATAAATAGAAAACTGTGATTATTAATATTTTGTTAAAAGTATATTGTTTAATTAGAAAATTGACAATAATTAGATAATTTTGTCGTTGATAGTTTGTCTCATGACTCTACATAAGATCGAGTCTATTATGTATTTTTGATGTAAAACACAAATAAAAACTGAAGACAAGAATAAATTGAAAAATAAGTTTTAAAAGATTTTTTTGGTGTGTATTCAATCAATTTATATAATAATAATAATAATAAGCATAAGAATATTCTGTTAGAGAAAGATTTTTATCAAAAAATATTTATTTAGTTTATATTTTAAAATGAATTATAAGATTTCTCGAAAGTCATTGAAAAATATTGGAAAAATATATTTTTTTGACACAACTATCAAAATATTTTCAACAGATATATAAGTTTCCGAAATAATAATAATATGAATTCAGATCATACATGACAGTTAAGACATGTATAAGACATAAATATATAGCCATGAGATATATATTTTAAACGTATACATTTGATCCCATATAATTATATTTATTGATAATGGTGAACTTTGATAAAAAAATAAATTTAAAATTCAATAACTTTTAGAAAAGTTTATTAAACTTCAAAATCATTTGATATATTAACTGACTTTACTGTAATTAAGTTAATTATTATCTAAACTAAATTTAAAATCTAATCAAATTATAGCAAGCAAATATTTTTAAAAGAATATTGTTGTATCTATATAATAAAATGGTTTATTTTTAAATATACTGTACAGCCAATATTTATATTATAGGGGTTTGTGTAAGCATTGCCATTAAATCTAATTAAAAATAAAGAGTTTATAATTAGGTTTTTACATTATATTTATTTGGGACATGACTTATTAACTAAATACTTCATAGAATATTCTGTGGAAAAATATAATTAATAAATAATATTCCTTATATGTTATATAAACTACATTTATAAGATATTCAAGTAGTGTACAAAATTATTATTATTTTTATTCAATTGTTGTAACTATTGATATTAAAATATAAAATGCAAAATGTTATTTTAATTGAATTAATTTCTGAAAATACTGCATCTATTACTAATTATGTTTTATATTATAGATAGTAACTTTTAGTTTTTAATAATTAAAATTATAAGGGCCTAATTTAAATTATTATTATAATATACTAAATTTATCTACAATTTATTATATTAATGCATTTTGTATGTTCAAATTAAATAAATGATTAAATTGTACACTTACTAATTGTAGATTTCAATTAATAATAATTGGCAAACAATCATATGCTTATATAATACCTCACAGATCAATATAATATATTATATATAACTTATGTTTTTCTGGAAAATCTCTTAAGCATCTTATTATCTCAAAATGTACTTGCTACTTACGTTTTTTAAGTAAAAAAATTGTTATCTCAAAAAACATTATCCTTAGGATTTATGTATTTATTGAAAGCAGTATAAATATTAATTGCTATATACATTTTAAAGTACAGGGTGGATAAAAAAACTCCTACTTTAAATGAAAATAATTCTCATACCATGGAGTTTATATAAATATTACAATATAAGCGTAGGACTCATAATACTTACTGCACTGTAACCTAATTATATTGTTTTATACCTGCGCTCACTGGGCTCTTACCTAACCCTTGGGAAAGAGTTTAAGGCTTTCCAAATGGTAACGGCTTTCAGGAACGGTATCGGTGTTCAGTCAGCGATTTTTAATAATACACGATTAAATGCAAACAGTTTATTGATTATAAATACTTGTTAAACAAATAACTATGAAATATAAAATGAATTTTGTATGTAAAGTAGTGCTAATTGTTGTTGATGAATTTTTATAATTATAGGTCCTATGTAATATTTAGTCAAGTATTTTTAATATAACATTTGATTTAGTTTTTCATTTTACTATAATTTTACTACACATTAATTTTAATTATGACAGATTTTCATGTACTTTAATGTCAAGGTGTAATACTTGACCCTGGTCACTTTACTCAATACTCGTGGGCCTGGGGTCCAGTCCTGGCCTTACGGGCGGCAACCATCTCGAGGCTGACACACCTGCGATGGTTACCCAACCGATTGTGGCGCACATGTCCAACACCAGGGTCGTGCCGCTTACATTCCAGCCCCACTCACTGGTCCTGTAGTCCCAGGGAAAGGCGTGGTGAAAGTTGTGCCAACCCTCACCTACATTTTATACGCACGGTATGATTAGATTAATTAATTACATAGTACTGTATAGTCAATACTCTAGACTTGGCACAGACTGGCACTCGTAGGTCTATACTATATTAGTGTTGAAACGCTTTAAAAAATTAATGCACGACTCACAACCCTAGTTTTTAGTTTCATAGTTAATAATATGAAAAACTCTAAAATATATAATAAAAGACTAAAAACTAGCGTTGTGAGTCGTGCATTACTTTACAATAGTGCTGCAACACTAGTTAACACACTTTTTTTTGTACAGATTGGCACTTAGTAGGAGTCTATACTAACCAAATGAAAATATGGTCGTCAATAGATTATCCCGGGGCTCAATACCAACATCATAGGGCCGGCTACCAAACCTATGCGCCATTGAATTGACGCACCAAATGGCGTTCAACGAGGCCGTCCACCTTAGCATAGCGCACACAAAGTAGGCATTCCACAAGCTCTCGTTCCACAAGTACCAGGGCACCACCGTGGGCGTGATAAAGCACAATACAATGACCATGGGCGTATAGTGGCGGTGCTGGAACGCCACCAGGAGGTCGGCCAACAGGTCGGCCATGTCAATAGTGCGACCCTCGCGCACGACATCCGGGTGCTTTTGGCACATAAGCCAACCGCAGTGCGAGAAAAAGAAACCGCGCCGGGAGTTGTGGAGGTCGGCGTCGGTGTCGGTGTGCTTGTGGTGCGTCCGGTGATCCCGGGCCCACTCGTGCGCCGAGTTCTGGTAGCATATGGTGTTGCATAGGGTGAGGATGAGGCGCAGTGGTAGGGCAGCCCTGTATGACCGGTGCGACCACAGCCGGTGTGCACCCGCCGTCGCACCCGAATATACTCATTGTATAGAGACATACGGCTGCGTTTGTGGGGGTATTCATAGGGATGTATCAATAGGGTTATCATGGTAAATTTGACATTTTTTGGATTTATAATATGAAATTAGTCGGTCTAATTGATGCTAAGCCTTACTCCCCGTCCCGTCCCGATAAATAGTTCTCACTCTCGTCCTAAAGCTTAAATAATTAAATAATATATTACCTTGGTTTGAAAACACTGTTTTTACCTAATATTTCAATAGTACTGCTGCTTTGAAAGTTAACAGATTTGAATTTTTTGTATAAGATATATGCAAAACATATAAAAAGTGAACCGGAGTTGAAGGGAGAGACTAAGCTATACATTCCTGAATCGCATTTATAGGACTCCCGTTCCTGATATGAACATTCCCAAATTGGGAGTCCCAATCACGTACTACACTGAGAGAATAGGGTCTCCCAAAAACTCTCGTTTTTATGGGTTCTTATTGGGCAGACTGACACATATTATAAAAATACTAAAAATGCAAAATTAAAATTCTTGGTCCAGTATTAATACTTACAGCATATAATTGTATAATAGGAGACGTCGGTAAAGCACAGGTAGAGTCCATAAAGGGCGGCCAAGTGAACTAAAATCAACTTGATGATATTAGACCAGTACAGGTGCTCCATACAGTTCCACTCCATTGATAAAACTTGTGTATCAGTTACCATCTAGTTAATATATTGTATTTAGGTTTTCTTATAAGTTAAATTAAATCAATAATATTTTAATTATTATGATATAAATGTGAATTAATATTTTCAGCAATGTTAATACAGAGTACAACGTGGACATTAAAGGACTCCCCTCCATTAGATGAAAATATTTTTCATACCAGTTAATTTATATAAATATATTTATCACCAAATTGTAGTCAAATAATTAGGATAGACTTTATAGTTTTTATGGCATAAGTTGAAGTTTTATAGAAACTATTATTTTATGAAAGTTAATATTTAAAAATTTTTTTTATTGATATCTTTCATAGCAATATTTTCTAAGTTACTAATTATAGTTTATTTTTTAAATTGACTTATATTTTAATATACATTTTAGTATTTATCATATACAGCATAAATTATATGAATGGATTACTTCAAGAGATATGCCTGCTAATATTAAAACTGTAATTATTAACTAATTTAACCTTTTAACAAAAACTCATAAAGTCACATAAATTAAGATATACACATTTATTTGGTAACTGTTTATTAATCTTAAATAAAAAAGATCTCTTAAAGATGAAAAATATTTTTTGTTTTATTTTTATGTATTTGTCATAAAATACTGAATACCTTTTGTACGGCTTAGGAGACATAGGGACAGGGCTGGTAAAGGCTTATGGACTGTCTATTTATGTGTAAAGTAAATGCTAGATTAGGTAAGATATAAAAATAATAGGCAGTTACCTTTATAATTTTTGACAAGTCAATTTCGTAGCATAAGTTAATATATTAGCAATAAGTTATATAATAAAATAAATAAATAAATCTATTTCGCAAATAAAATAAAATAATTTATTAACACAATAAACATAAATGTGAAAAATTGTGCTTGCTTAAATAAAACAAATTTTGGCACTCCATATAAAAATAAATGATAAATTATTGTATCGTAAAGTTTTTTGCAGTTTTGATCAAAAAAGTTTATACATTATCTTCACATACAATAAAACTTTGCGATACTTTACTGAGCGATGGAAAGGTATCCAATGGTGCGGTGATTGAAAAATAGAGCTCACAATAGGTTCTTATTATCGATATATCATCGATAGAGTGAACTAAAAAAAATAAAATAAAACTTTTATTTTTATCAAAATATATGACCAGTGAGTTTGGAGAGAGAGAGAGAGAGAGAGAGAGAGAGAGCACACATCTATTATCTTGGGTAAAAAATTTTTCCATAAAAATAGATATATATTTTTACCTAAAAAACTGAACGATTCATTTGCCACCAGATTTCTACTACATTATACACTATATAAACAGACATCATATAAAAAATAAAAATTCCTAGATAAATGTCTTATTTTAGACAACATTGTCTATTCAAGCAACTAATGGTGCGAGTTGCCATTAATTTAAAGGGTAATTATTTTGTTCAATTAATACATTGACACAATGTAGGAGGTTCATTGTATTGAGTTGTATAGTGTAGTAGAAATATAATTTATATCTCACTCTCAATATCTCAACTAAATGTATAATACGATTCTCTCTCTCTCTCTCTCTCTCTCTCTCTCTCTCTCTCTAATAAATAGTGTATAGAAATGATTGGTGAAAAGGTCTGACATTTCCACTATTATTGCGTTCAATGAGTGAGTGAATGATATCGGCGTTCAATACCCAGGGATGCCATCGACTATGAGATGACCCTTTGATTAAAATCTATATATTATGGATGAGTTTGGTGGGAATCCTTATATCATACGGCATGTGATGTGTATGTTATGTCACGACATGCTGTGAAAACGTTGCGAAAAGTAGTCGTTTTGACGTTAATCTGATATTTGAAAGCAACACAAAATTCATTTTTTCTAATGTTAATAGCATAGGATTAGTTAATTAGAAATGAATATTTTACACGTTTAGAAAGACTTGTGTAGTATTTAATATTTATATTAAATATAGTAATATTGATGACTAAACTATTTATTTTATAAGATTATAACAACTGTAGTAAAGCATTAAATTAAAAGTATTGCAATACCGTATTATAATTGAGCGTGATAAGATTGTACAAAAATATATTTAGATAAAGCCCTCTTACATAGGTATAATGAAATAGGTAAGATTTCTAGGAATTCAATAAACAACACTTTTTTCTCTAATAAATAGTGTATAGAAATGATTGGTGAAAAGGTCTGACATTTCCACTATTATTGCGTTCAATGAGTGAGTGAATGATATCGGCGTTCAATACCCAGGGATGCCATCGACGATGAGATGACCCTTTGATTAAAATCTATATATTATGGATGAGTTTGATGGGAATCCTTATATCATACGGCATGTGATGTGTATGTTATGTCACGACATGCTGTGAAAACGTTGCGAAAAGTAGTCGTTTTGACGTTAATCTCATATTTGAAAGCAACACAAAATTAATTTTTTCTAATGTTAATAGCATAGGATTAGTTAATTAGAAATGAATATTTTACACGTTTAGAAAGACTTGTGTAGTATTTAATATTTATATTAAATATAGTAATATTGGTGACTAAACTATTCATTTTATAAGATTATAACAACTGTAGGATGTTTTGGCACACATCATATTCTATAGCACTTTATAATAAAGCATTAAATTATAAGTATTGCAATACCGTATTATAATTGAGCGTGATAAGATTGTACAAAAATATATTTAGATAAAGCCCTCTTACATAGGTATAATGAAATAGGTAAGATTTCTAGGAATTCAATAAACAACACTTTTGTAAACAATAGTTATGTTCATTGTAAATATAAACTTAAATTCAAAATTACAATAATTGTTAAAAGTTATACTATATTTACTTATAACTAGTTATTACTTAATTATAATTATACTACACTGAACATTTTAGTTATAACTAGTAGCAACAAATGTTTTTATATTAAAATTACAAAATTATGTCACTATTAACAGCAAGGATTACTACATTTTTTTGCATTATTTGCAGGTATCTATAAAATGCTATAACCAACCTTGTTTAAATTATTATTATGTATACAAATGATTTTGTTTAATTATTTAAAATTATAATACCCTATATAAATTTATAAAATTATTATTAATATAGAAACGTTTATTGTTGGATATCTACCTCTATATCTAATCAACAAATACCTCATCCATGGCTCAAACGATGAGTTAACATCCCTGTCCTCCGGTGCCATCATTCAGATTCTGTTGCAATTCGGTGGCGGAGTTCTGTTCGCCACTGTATTCACGCATTTGATACCTGAGCTCAACGAACACTACGAGACATATAAGTCGAGCAATGAATCCATATTTAAGTCTAATGAGGGAAAGGTATCTCAAGTGCCATACATTGAGTTAACCATTTGTTTGGGATTTTTCCTGATATTCATAATGGAGGAACTGATGCACCACTACCTCGACAAATGGGTTGACCACCAACAACATGTGTTGGACAATGATTATGAACTGGAGCCTACATTTAGTCGTAACCTTGATCAATCAGAAAGCACACCATTGCTTACCAATGTTAACACCGGAACAGTTACCACGATTACCAACTCAACACTAACTAATACTACTATTAGTGAAACTCCTATTTTAAAACTTTTTTGTAGGGGATTGCCTATTATTTTTGCATTTTCTATACATTCTATATTTGATGGACTGGCCATCGCCTTACAACCTACCGGTGCTGATGTATGGCTAATGTTTGCCGCCATAAGTGTCCATAAGCTGGTCATCGCATTCGTGGTAAGCCTTCAACTGTACGATCAGTCGCGCCGTATGCTTGCGGTGGCCATACATATGGCTATATTCGCAGTGATGTCACCGTTGGGTATATTACTGGTGATCGTCGCCGAGGACTCCCTTCTCGACTCAGACTCAGAGAGTAATCCTGTGATCATTGGCACGACAGCCATAGCCACCGGAACTCTACTTTATATCGTGTTTTACGAGATCCTCCAGAAGGACAGGTGTCAAGGGATCTCCGGTTTTGTGCAGTTTGTGTCCGTTTTAGTAGGTTTTGCCGTAATGTTAACCAACTTTCTACTCATCAAAGACTAAACACTTTTGTTTCTGTAATGTATTTATTATAATAATTAGTAAAAATAGTAATATGTATTTACATTGATATAAATTATATTTAAATCACAGTTCTTATAAAATAAACTATTTTTAATATTAAAGTTTAATTTGAGCATGGTCCAATGTCCATTAAGTTATGTTATACAGTACATATTTCATATAGAAATTATTTATTTATTCAATTCATTCAATTATATA